CATGAAATAAAACCTCATTAATTATGTGTATTAGTGAGTAGTTATAACCCTCCCCAAAATCGGCTGAAAATTCTTCTTGTATTTACAACTTCCTTTAATTAATTGTTGATTTCGTATTTGTGACATAAAGTTTGTCATTTCGCATTTTTAATATTATTTAAGAAATTATTAGTAATGGGTGTAATTTTCTCTAACCCAATCATCCAACAATGGAAACCCCAAATCCGAGAGGGTCTGGCCCCGCGTCTGAACAGATTGAAAAAAACCGACGGTCGGGGTTCCTCTGGCTGCTGGTGTTCGCAACCTTCGGTCAATCTTTGGTCGCGTATTTGGCGTTGAGGTGCGCTGAGACGATGCGTGGGCAGAAAATTCGCGGGAAGGCTGACGACGGTGGATCCATTGGCCATGGAACGGTCGGACTCTCGAAGTCGGAGGGTGCTGCTATCGGTGCTCGGTTACTCGCGGATTAGCAGGTCTGTCGGAGATGCTCGAATTTCGGAATGTGATGGTGGCTCGACGACTGACGGATGCTCTTGAGGTGATCGACGGCTGTTACAGACTGTCGGGTACTGGCAGTCTTGAGCCGATGGCTCAATTCGCCGTGTTGCAGCAAAGGCGGGTCACGCACACAGTTGAGGGTTCTCGTTTGTCGTCGGCGATAGGGGCTATTCGCTCGTGATAACGGGAAGCCTCAGCTCCTTCTCGGTAGGTGTACAACCGCAGGCGGGGATCTCCGGCATTGACGGGTCACACACGGCGAAGGGAAACTTTTCAGAGGTTGGTGATGGTTTGGAGCGAAGGGTCTGCTCTGATTATCGTCGGAGATTAATTTGTATATTAGGAGAAATTTCTTATGAATTATTGCTGAGTGAGAGTAAGGTCGATTGAATAAGGATTTTGAAACCAAAAGTTGTTTTCCGATGAAATGGGCAGAGAACCAGTAATACGATTTGTTGGAATATCACTTGTGAGTTGTCCCACATTGATTCTATAGGGAAAATGAGTCTAGTATATAAGCCTAGTGGGCTACTCCTCTCATCACCAATTGGTTTTGGAATGGAACCTCACTAAGGTGCATACTCACTCTCTTATGGTGCACCTTCATCTGGTGGGACCGCGGGACCGCACTCTCTTCCCCCGTTTCTAACACGATTTTTCGTGAATCTGCTAACTCCTCCTCGACTAGAGAAAAATTCTGACGAAAGAATCGCAACAATTTCAAACTGCCGTTGAAGAGACTTGGTTGTACGGAAAGGATAAGAGAGCAGCTAGATCTTCTCCATTTGGGCCACCAACTCTCAATTTCTTATGGGCCAATTTAAAACAACTAGATTGGGCCAGAAATTAGATTGACATAAGGCTTAAAAATAGATTATGGACTGGAATTAAATACCTACAAGGCCAAGAGAGATCAAAAGTACAACAATTGGACCGAGTATCAAACTCAAGGCTCGAATAATCCAACGCGAATATCCCCGAGGATACCGAACATTTTAAACAATTAGCGATAAACAATAATAAAATAGCGCGACTTACTAAATTAATTAGACGACGACATCTAATATAATAAGTCTTAACGAGATATGCCGAGCGATTACTGAAATAAATATAAATAAAATACGATAGTTCACATGATTCAAATGGGGCATTACAGGCGCTTCCACTAAAAACGTATTGTCAAAATACGTTTAACATTTTCAGAAAATTCAAAATTTGCAAAAAATATTTTTCCAAAATTCTTAAATTAATTTTAAATAAAAAAACGTATTACCTAAATACGTTTTATAATAAAACGTATTATCTGTATACGTTTTAATATTTAAAGGTATTTTGGATATCCGTTTTCATTTATGTTAATTAAGGTTAATTAGCTTAATTACATTTTTCTACTAAAACGTATTCCTGGAATATGTTTTCATATGTAAAACGTATTCCAGGAATACGTTTTTTTAATAAAAAATATATTATGAAAATACGTGTGTTTGATTTTTGTCCAGACTTTTTTTTCTCCTTTTTTTTTTAAAATAAATAAATGATTCGTTTTTTACTAGTTTGGATCGATACTTCTCGACAGATTGACACCTTTTTGGCCATATTGACACCTTTTTTTTTTTTTTTTTAAATCGACACTTTTCTAGTCTGATTGTCACTTTTCTACCAAATTGATATTTTTTTGGTCAACGTGGCATTTACGTTGTTTGTATGACCATGTTATTTATTTTAAACCTATGTGTCGTTCTTCTAATTGTGGTAAAATTGTCACCATCAATACAAATGCTTAAGATCGACTTGAATTCAGCTCAAATTCGACTCCAAGTTTCATTAAAAACATATTTAGTTAGGGTATTTACATCATTCTATATATATTGAGCGGTATTTGGCCCGAACTCCATCCCGGTTTGAATTTGAGTTGCTTGAGCTTGACTTGAGCTCAAGTTTCAGCATTAACTCTACGACATCAATTAAGCTTGAGTCGAGCGTTGACTCAAACACTCGCTAGTGTCATGAATCGTTCTGAAGTGTGTGTACGAGTGAACGAGTGCATTTTCTATAAAAACACATAACAAAGGCGAATATAACAAAATTTTCTATAGGGAGAGTTCCGCTACTCCTCATAACTATTTCACTAGTGAATGATCACGCACACTTAATTTAGTATGGATTTACCAGAGTTGAACTTCCTTTTGGTCCTACAGTCTCGTACTCCTCCTTGGTAGCTACTTTTATGGTCAACTCGTGAACTTAAAACGCTATATTGGATTACTTCAAGGCTACCAATCACTTCTTCCAAGTGTTGTAAGAAGAACAGACAGAAGTACGAGTACCAAACTTTGAGCTGTTAGAACACTAACTAAAAGCGCAAACACTTAAATCTATGTAAAAATAAACACTAAACTCTCAGGATAATCTCATCATCTATAGCAGCACACATATAGGTCTTGTATAGAAATCTTATACTGATAATAAAGACTTCAAACATAGTTTCAAGATCTTCATAGATATCATTTCACGAAACTGCCAGGAACATGACATTTTTTATTTGAACGACTCCGTCAATCTGGATTGGTCTCCTCAATATTATGCACGACAAAATTTGAAAAATGATACACCAAGTTGGGCGTTGTCAACAAATAAGACATTTTGTTGTCACTCACAGAAAAGAAACATGGAGTTGACATTTTGGTCGGAAAAGATGCAGTAATCAACCCACCTGGATCAAAAAAAAAAAAAAAAA